ATTGAAAATTCAATAAGTGTATGCAGTGTATTCTGCTCACATCACCACTCTCTCCTCTCTTCCAGCCTCCCCAATCACATCTCTATCCCAACTTTATGTATGCCTTTTTAATTTACTTTTTAAAACCCAATTAGTTTGTTTTAATCTAATTAGTTTTATTTTAACACAATTAATGCTGCCTATATGCACACCAGAGGACCTGCAGACAGACTACCAGTGGTCACATTGCTAAAGAAAATTGACTCCCTCCCCTCAGCAGCCATCAGCTGCCAACAGCCCCTCAGTAGGGTTGGGGCATCACTTCTCTTTCTATGTCGGAATTTTAACTAGCTTCATCTTCTGCGGGTCTTGTACAGGTAACCATAGCTGCTGTGAATTCACCAGTGTATCACACCAAGTCCAGAAGACAGCATTTCACAGCTCTCCTTCCCCTCCTCTGTTTTTTGCATTCTTTCTGTCTCCTCTTTGATGACATTCCCTGAGCTCTGAGAGAGGGGACATGTACAGCTAAACATTCACAGTTGCTTCTGTTGCGCACTTTGCTCAGTTACGAGTCTCTGCATTAACCATGACTCTCTGCAATGAGAAACTTCTCAGACCAAGATTGAGAGCAGCACACATCTATGAATATAAACATAAACATTTAGAAGGAAGTTTAACAACATGTTCATTTAGAAAAACATCAATAGGTTCTCTCTTAGGGCCTGTGACTCCTAGTAATGCTTATTAATCATGTTTACAGTGGCCTGGAAAAGGCAAGCACAGTTTTCAAAGCTCACACCTATACTAGGTGTCTAGAATTTGTGTCTTTAGCCTGTCCCATCTCCTTGCACTGATGATAGTAAGCACCATCCTGTTTGGTGGGGCCTACCCTGTCATAACAGGTTATTGTTTTCTATCTTTAATGTGGTGCTCTATGAATTACCAAATGCCATTCCTATCTCAGTTACTTTTCTACTGCTGTGATGAAACACCACAACCAAGGCAACTTGTAGAAGGAAGAGTTCATTTGGGTCTTACTATTTCAGAAGATGAGTCCATGGTCAACATGGTGGGAGCATGACAGCAGGCAGGCAGGCATTGTGCTGAAACAGTAGCTCAGACTTCACGTGTTGAGACAACAACCATGAGGCAGAGAGAGCAAACCAGGAATGTCATGGGCTTTTGAAATCTCAAAGCCCACTCCATACATCTTCTCCAACAAGGCCACACCTCCTAGTCCTCCCCAAATAGTTCTACCAACTGGGAACTAAGTATTCAAATATATGAGTCTATAGGGATCATTCCCTATATGAGTCTATAGAGACCACATTTCCCTAACCCTGAATGTAGCATCTGTCACCTTCAGCCCTTATAATTTTAAAGATCTTTAAATTTCAGTGCGATTTTTCAACTTGAATTCAAACTTCTCTTCTCCTTCCTTGGAAATAAGCATTAAAGTTTGTAATAATGATGTCAACATCAAAGCACTTTGGAATTATGTGTGTTCCCCCCACCATGTGTATATGTGTGTGTGTATACATGTGCATGTTAACATTTGTATGTGTGTATGAGCATGTTCATGCTAGCATATGTGAATGCACATACACATGCAAGCATGTGGACTAGAGGATAACTTAGCTGTCATTTCTCAGGTGCCATCCATCTTGTTTTTGGAAACAGGATCTTTCACTGGCCTAAAACTTTCCATCTGGGCTGTCTCTGCCTCCTTATCTCTAAAAGTATATGCATGGGCCACTATGCCCGGATTCTCTAAAAATTATTATGTGTATGTATGTGTACATGTGTACAAGGTAAGCATGAGCCATAGCACCCATAGGGAGGTCACAGGACAAGCTTGGATATTAATTCTTGCCTTCCACATTGCAGCAGGGTCTCTTTACTGTAAGCCACACTAATACCAGGCTATCCTGTCCATTAGCTTCAGGTGAGTCCACTGTCTCCACCTTCCTTCCACCTTGCCTTAGGAACACTGAAGTCACATACGCAGGCTGTTGTGTAAAGTTTTACATCTGTTCAGGCAAGCTTTGTGAGGCATGTGCTTTATCTATTCAGCCATCCCCCTAGCCCATGTTCAGCTTTTGGGTCCTAGTGACTGAATATCCTCACACTTGCAAGGCAAACACTTAACCAGCTCAACTCTTCCCCAGCTCTCAAAGCATGCTCCAGCTCTGGCTCTGAGGTGATGGTGATGGCTAGGAGCTGTCCTTCCCTCCCCCACACTGATCAGCAAGATTCCAGGTAGTGACAACTGCTTCAGTCTGGGCCTCAGAATGATCACAGCACAGGGAAGGCCCTCTTCACTGATGCTTGATTGGCAGGCAATTGGGAATAAATCTTCACCGTTTTGAACTATGTTGGTGCGGAAAACTGGACTTAGGTCCTCTGGAAGGGCAGAGAGGACCCTTAGCCATCGGCTCAGCTCCCTAGCACCCATTTCCTTCATTCTTACCAACTGGGTCAGGTGTCACTATTGCAAAATTACCTCTAAATCTAAAAGTAACTCTTATCCCACTGCTGTTATCATGAGGTCAGCCACTCCTGTCTCCTCCTGGTCTCATTCTCCTGGATTCTGCTGCACAAAACCCTCCTAAGGATTCTTTCCACATGAAATCAGATCCAAAGTCTATTGAGTGTCAGTAAGAGCCAAATTCTCTATCACAGCCTCCATGCTCACATGTCCCAAGAGTCAGATAATTATAGTATAGTAACAGTGCGGCACAATTCCTGAGGAGACATGAACAAAATTCTACTCATACCAGAAAGGGAACCAACTACAGAGCAAAGTACGGATACCACCAAAGTTAACTTGGTGAACCAATAAGGTTCACTGGAGTTACTTACAGGAGCAGAAATAACTCAAAGACAGCTAGCTACATCACCCAAACCCATGCCAGCATCAATTGCAGCTCACAGAAACTGGAAACCTGGAGCATACTACAGACAGCTCAAGAGGTTGGAGTGTGTACCTTCCTGGTGGCTCAGGCTGGTCTGAGCCTCTTCTGGGCAGCTCAGCAGCTTGTCTAAAAGTGTCTCTCAGAAGTCCCAACTGCATATGCACTCTTGAGGTGCATAAATCTGGTTAGTTTCAGGGACTTCCTGAAATTTTTCAGTTGTTTATTTCCTGAGCTTAATGAGCTTCCTTGAAGCATGGGATGTTTCACTTCCCCTTAGAATATCCTATGTCCTAGGGAGCTTCCATCTAAGATGGGAGGTTTAATCTCAGAGAAACTGCTGCAGAACACTGATCTAAGGACTCACACTCTTTTTATCACTGGTCAGTTCCACATTCTGAAGCTTGTTTCTACCTCAGGGCCTTTGCACTTGATATTCCTTTTACTGGGAATATCCTTCCCTTAGCTTTTCAGATGTTGCACTCAAAGACATATGCTGAAATAAGCCTTCTTTGGCTTCCTTTACAAATTATTTATACCTTTTTACTAGAAACATACCATTTACTATTTGCATGTATATTTTCAGAAGCCCTAACAAAGTTGTCTTCACTGTCGACTTGAGTTCAGAATCACTCAGGAGACACATCCCTGGCCATGTCTGTAAGGACCTTTCCTGAGAGGATTAACAGGGGAGGGAAGACCCACCCTGAATGTGGGAGGCGCCATCCAGTGGGTTGAGGTCCTGGACTGAATAAAAAGGAAAATGAGTTAACTGAGTGCCAGCACGCATCTCTCTGCTTTCTGACTGGGACTCCAATGGACCTGCTGCCTCCTGTTCCTGTTGCCCTCCCTTCCCCATGGCAGACTGTTGTAACCTTTCTTAAACTGAAAGGAAGTCCTTCCTCTTTACTTTTTCACATTTTAAATGTTGCATTTATTTATTTGCTTGTTTGGTGTGTGTGTGTGTGTGTGTGTGTGTGTGTGTGTGTGTGTGTGTGTGTGTGTGTGTAATTTGTGTCATGCACACATGCAGAGGTTGGAGGATAACTTGTGAGAACTGGCTCTCTTCTTCCACCCCGTGAGTTCCAAGGATTGAACTCAGGTCCCCAGGCTTGGAGAAAAGCTTCTTGAGTCCTGAGCCCTCTCCCCAGCCCCATAAGTCCCTCATTTAAGTTGCTTCAGTTGGCTGTTCTGTGAAAAACAGTGAGAAAAGTGACTAATGCACTGTGTTTCCACAAAGCCCAGGACAGCATAGGGCATGAGTTAAATTCAGGAAAGGGTTTGCTGGAAAAAAATGAATAATGTAGGAGGAGAGACGAGAGACAGACAGATAGACAGAAACAGAGACACACACCTGAGAGAGACAAAGAGAGAGAGACAGAGAAAGACAGAGACACACAAGAGAGAAACAGAAACAGAGAGAGACGTAGAGAGAGAGGGAGGGAGGGACAGACAGACAGAGGAAGAAGCAGAGAGAGAGAGAGACAGACAGACAGGAGAGAGGGGAGGGGAGAGAGAGACAAGTGTCTGAAAGTTCAATTTTCCTAATTTCTAATTTCTAATGGTCTGGTCCTGAAATCCTCTTGCTTTCTGAACTGCTGAGAGAAATTGTTCGGAGAGGAAAAGACCTAAAAGCTGATTTTCAGCCATTGAGATCCTCCAAATCACATGTCTCATGCTTTTCCCAGAGAGCCCTGATTGCCCAAAGGAATAATATAATCTGAGAAATCGATTGATCTTTCACTCTTTGATGCGACATACAGGGGTCAGAGAGTGATGGAGACTCCTGGCTTAGCGGTCAGGTTTCTCAGCCCTTCCTGTGTTTCTCCCCAGAGCCCCACAACTCTGAGGCTGGCCCTGCTGGGAGTATTTGCCCCTCAGGTGGCCCAGCTCACTCAGTGTGAGCTGATTCTCTGGCTTCTTCCAAGTCACAGGGTGGTCCCTCCTCTCAGGCTCCCCAAACACAAAGCAGCACACCAACCTGCCTGGTTCTCCCACGGTGCAGCTTAACACACTCATTGGCCTGCAGCCTGCCGGGGGCGGGGCTTGGGTGGTCCTCAAAAGGAGTTAGCAGTGTGAGAGGAGAGCCCTGGAGGCTGATGCTCTCATCCCAGTCTCACCCGGTCTTCTTCAGGAGCCTCTGCTTTCGGGATTGTCCCCTTTGTGGCTCGGCTTGGGACAGAGCCTCAGATCAGAGGACACCTGTGGCCTTGGATTTTAACCTCAGTGATGGGAAAACTTGAAAATACTTCCTGGATCCACGATCCTCTCATGAAGTACCTGAACAGCACGGAGGAGTACCTGGCTCACCTCTGCGGACCCCGGCGCAGCCACCTCTCCCTCCCAGTGTCTGTGGCCTATGCGTTGATCTTCGTGGTGGGGGTGATGGGCAATCTTCTGGTGTGCCTGGTGATCCTCCGACATCAGACCTTGAAAACACCCACCAACTACTACCTCTTCAGCCTGGCTGTCTCAGACCTGCTGGTGCTGCTCTTTGGGATGCCTCTGGAGGTCTATGAGATGTGGCACAATTACCCCTTCCTGTTTGGGCCGGTGGGCTGCTACTTCAAGACCGCCCTCTTCGAGACTGTGTGCTTTGCCTCCATTCTCAGTGTCACCACGGTTAGCATAGAGCGCTATGTGGCCATCGTCCACCCGTTCCGAGCCAAGCTGGAGAGCACGCGGCGCCGGGCCCTCAAGATCCTCAGCCTGGTCTGGGGCTTCTCTGTGATCTTTTCTTTGCCCAACACCAGCATCCATGGCATCAAGTTCCAGCACTTTCCCAATGGGACCTCCGTGCCCGGCTCTGCCACCTGCACAGTCACCAAGCCCATGTGGGTGTACAACTTCATCATCCAGGCCACCTCATTCCTCTTCTACATCCTCCCGATGACCCTCATCAGCATCCTCTACTACCTCATGGGGCTCAGAGTGAGTATCCAAGGTGACTGGCTTGGGGCAGCATCCCTCCTGTTTTCACCCATTTTAAGTTCAAAGAAAGCCCTAGCATGAAGGAAGGACATGATCAGAAGGGGGTGCGGAGGATGACTTTAAGTGGGAAATTAAGAAGCAAATCTCTATATGTATGTAAAACAGTGTGCAAATTCCGCACATGTCCTCAGGATATATCTCGCAAGTAAAATCAGTTTGGTCTCCTTTTGAGCAGGGGGGGGAAATTGCCACCAATTAAACAGAGTGAAACCACAACTCTCTATTATTTTCTTTAGCTGGTGTCCATCATTTTCTCTATGCTTGTTCACCTGTGTTACTAAGAAAGTGTTAGAATACTTCCTAGGGGTATCAATGTAGACACCACTCGTGGGACAATCTGACTCCAGGGGCTTGAGGAGAAGCCTCACTGTGTGCACAGGAAGTGATCTAGGGTTAGAGGGTCACATTCTGGGGCGATTCTTCTGCATTCTCTTGTCTCCTTGCTGCCCCTGCACCACTTCACTGCCTGTGCTGAAATGTCTTGCTGAACTTACTTGTCCTGAGGATATTGTGGGGGCCTCCTGCTTAGCCGTCTGAGACAGATATACAGCTGTGAAGGTCTATATTTCCTTGTGGTGCACTGACCCTTTGACTGAAATATCAAGTTAAATCATATATGTATGTGTGTACATATATATGACTCTATTTTATATCTACTATACATACATATACTTTGAAAACAGTTTTATAGAAGGCAGGGATTGAGGAATGGAAAAGTAAACAGAACTCATAAGTTAGAACAGTATAAGCTATGATTAAGACGCATGTGAGTTTCTGGGGAAATCACTCAGTTTTCCCTGTATCTTACAATTAGAGTTTCCTTCTCTAAGCTTGTAGAGATAAACATTGTTTTCCGTTCTCTCTGGTTCCAAATTAGATGAGAGAATCTGTTTTTGAGAAGTGTAGGAGTGAATCCGTATACTTCCTACTGTATTCTGTACCCAAATTCATAGATGTGAGTCCTCACAATGATAGTTTTATATTCATTTTAGGAAGTGGTTCACGCAGTAAACAGTTATGACGTTATTTAGATTCTCAGGTCCTTGGCTGACATATGCCTTTAGGCAAGCAGCACACAATTCTCCCAGAATTGCTTTCCCATTTGGAGAATGAAAAGGTCACATCACATTATTTCTAAGGCTTCTTCCGGCTCTAACAGTCTGTGGTTCCTTTTTAAAAGGTAAAGAGACTGAATGGGATAGACATGAGCTATAAATGAAAGAATTAAACACGCACACACATCCCATCACATCCTCCGGCACTGTGGCACCAGATGCAGGGGCCCACCCCAGTCCATCTCTGAGAAAGGTTTTTATCAACCAAGAGAGGATCTTTTTTTTTTTTTTTTTAACATTTACTGGCCCTAAAATGAAAGGCCAGGCTTGAGTAGGAAGAACATAATTTGAGTGTCATAGACATGTGGGCACAGGAATGAATCTGACCAGAGAGTGGTGGCATTTTCCTCTAAGATCTGTGTCAAAGCAGACCAGCTCAGTGCCACAGTTTCAGAATGTCCTGTGTATCTAACCCGGAGGAAAAGATTTTCATACGTTTCCAAATATTAATCATCACAAAAGACCATCTCACTCCGAGACTTTAGTAACAATATCATCTTGTTCAGTGCTAAACAACTATTTGTCTTGTATGAGTTTGGGGGAAATGCCTAAGTTTAACAGCAAACACCGAGTCTTCTAAGCTCTTTGCCTGAGTTTCATTTTGTTCTACTCTCGTGAATCCACAGTGTATGTGTCCCAAGCTGGTGGCAGCTGAGAAAAGAGCCACCCTACTCTGTGTGAGTAATGCAATTGATGACATCCTGTGTCAGAAAAGATGAAGTAGAAGCAAGTGGACCAGAGGGTACCAGGAAAGGAAATGTCTGATGTGTCACTACACCAGTGGCCTGCAGAAGCAAGCTCTTTTCATTGACACAGGTGCCACAACCTTTGGACCCTTCCCCTGGAAGGTTCCTGCCACCCAACATCACACTTGCTTTGTCTTTTGACTCTGGTCCACCCTATCAGTCATGCTTCAAGTGCACCGCCCTGGGGAAGCTCTCCTCGACCCCTGAGCTGCTCTGCCTCCTCTGTTGTAGATGCCATGACTTCTAGTAACTTCCTTTGCTAAAATTTATAATGGCATGTGGACCCTTTAGTTCATTTATTTCTCCCAAACCAGACTACATTCAGCCAGAGGATGAAGCTAAATTACTTCCCTCGCTACTGAGCTTCATCTTCTCTACACTTAAGACAAAAGACTTGGAAACATTGTCTCCAAGTCAAGATTTAAAGACACCAAGCCCTAATGGTATTTAAGTTATTGAGTCTGTTGAGAAGTCTAAATGTGTGACTGAGTCTGGTTGCCACTACCTTCCGAAGGCAGCCAAGACTGTGCTGATGTAAGCACAGGACAAAAGAAGCCCTTTGTGTGTTCAAGGCTGAACAACCATTGTTGTTATCTCATTCCAGGTCATGAATTTTTATAGAGATGCTCCTGAGGCTTAGAACATCACAGACATGGAAAGTACATGACCCAAGAGTAGCTTCCCAGCCACATAGGAGGAAGCACTGGCAAAGTCTAACCTAATCCATGTCTCTCTCACACATGACTTTTGTGTTGATGAGGAGACATGTGTGAACTGCATAAAAGTCAACTCTGCCTGATAGGCTGCAAACAAGAAAGATAGTGGATGGATGGATGCATGGATGGATGGATGGATGGATGGATGGATGGACATGATGGGTAGAGATGGATGGACAGAGAGACAGATGATGAATGGATGGATGATAGAAAAGGGCAGAATGGCAAATTGAAAGACAGATAAATGAATAGATGGGTAGATGGTTAGACAGGCAAATAGGCAGAAGAGGAGATTGACAGGCAGAGAGACGGATGGATGGATGGATGGATGGATGGATGGATGGATGGATGGATGGATGAAAGGAAGGAGGGGCAAATGAGCTGATAGAGAAGTTGAAAGACAGACAAATAAGTATAGATCAGGACAATGCGTATCTACACCTATATTCATACATACACACAGATATACTCAAGTATATATATACACACAACACACACACACCACAATCACCATGAACAGTTCATCAAGATAATAACCTGAAAGATGATCAGTCCCATGAACCTCACCTTGGTGTTCCACTGCTGGAGATGTCAGATAAGTAAGCCCTAAGCTTCTGAACCTTGGAGCATCCTATAGAGTGACCACAGCATCTCATCCCTTTTTGTCATTCCCTGAGTGTGGGTGCAGAGTTCATCCCACTGATGACTGAGTATCTACCCATGCTAAGCATCTAAAGTGAAATGAAAGTATTTAATATTAAAGCATCATTTGATATTAACTAAGCAGATGTCTTAGACTCTGTTGTGTCGGCCATTGTGAGTCCTGATGGGACACTACCATATCACATATTTAGTCCATCTCTTCCTTAAGTTGGCTGGTTGTGCCATTATAACCTGAAGACACTTCAAGGTGAGCAGTAATGGATACGTGGTTTTCTTTTGGTACAAACCACAATGGCCAGGAGGCTAGTTCATAAAAATATCTATATGGAATGATTGCTTGGTGTTTGATTTAAATAAATGCCTCATGGGAGTACAGACTTCCCTGAGAACTATGAAACCCAGCCATGAAATGACCAATCTTTCGATATAGTTCTATTGTTCTTAACTATTGGCTGAAATCAATTATGGACAACCAACAACTGTGTCTTACAATGGTCACAGTTTTAGAACTGGAATTAAAATATTTTTATTATTATTATTTTCCCATTTATTAAAAAGATTCATTTCTCAATATATCTTGATTACAATTTTCCCTCCCTTTATCCCCCCACCAGGTCCTCTCCACCTCCCCTCCCATCCTAATCCACTCCTTTTCTGTCTCTGGTGTCCTCCACCCCCTCTGGCTCTTACACATTCTCTCCTCTTCCACAGTGTTCCCTGATCTCTGGGGGAAAATATTTGATGGAGATATCCCATTTAAAGCTGTGTGTTCCAAGGTCTCTCTCTTTCTCTCTGTGTAATGTCTGGCTGTGAGTCTCTGAATTTAGTCCCTCTTCCCAGGTGACTCTAGGTTTGTGCTGAGCTGACAGCTGAAGCAAAGGCTAACATCTGTCAAGCACAACACAGCTGAGTTAGAAGACAGACATTTTCCCAGAAGAGACTCAATAATCCTCATAAGGAGATTCATAAATGAAAGTAGCTGTCCTTGGCTATTTTAATTTATATCACGTCTTTTGAGAAGATGTGGAACAATAATCAGAACCAGCAGAATAGCAAAAAGTTACCACTCATTGAGTACCTCATGCTCCTCTCCACTCTGGGATGCTTATATTAGGAATACCTTATCACTTTCATACAACCCCCATTTATTTCCATAACAGTGCAGAATTCTCTCAGTTCCTCTCAGGTTTCAGGTGACTCTAAAAGGTCAAATCTCAAGTAATTTTTAACCACTCACTTCTCTCACTTTCTGAAAACATAGGCTTTATGTAGAGATCACCACAAAGTACAACAGATAGGCAGACATAGTAACCACACAGGCGGTGACTGAGACCCATGTGTTCCTGTGGACTGCTTGATTTGAAGAAGCATGTACATTGTAGAGACATAGGATATGGATTTGTGGAGCTTTCAAGGTGAACTTTAATGGGCCAATCTTCCAAGTTATCCAACTTTAAAGACTTTCTCTCAAGTTCTCAAGTATTCCCTCAGGATAGCTTGCATCCCAGAAAGTTCACTGTTCCTTAGTCTGTTCATCATCACACACAATTACACCCATTTCTCATTTACCTTGAACTTGAAAATGTCTCCTTATAACTCAGTGGAGCTTGAGACTGTGTAGAACAATTTGAATTTTCCTCCCACTGGATAACCTCAGTTGATACGTCAGGACCCATGTCACCACTAGTGAAGGAATCTCAGCTTGACTATTGGCACATGAAGGGGGCTTAGGCTGAAATCCACAAAGTAGACATGGCACTCGGTGAAGGCTCCTTCAGGAAAACACGCAACTACCAAACACCCAGCTTCTTCTCTGGTTCTTTGCTTTGCTTTCAAGGGAGCTTAAAGCCTGCACACAGCAGCACTATGAGTGCTTTTCTCACGGTGCCACACAAGTGACCACTGTAGCTCCTGCCTCAGATGCAGTGAAAAAAGGGTCCCTTCCATTCCCAAGAGTACAGAAGCAAGTATGTGAAACCCCATTGGCTCCAGTTACCCAACTACTGGGACTGGGGGATGAGACCGTCAGATCTGCTAGGTTATTTGGCAATGGAACCAGGGGCTGGAGATGGGGCTAACTCAGCTTAATCTTCCCTGTCATCTTGATTGGATTTAGAATCACGTAGGAGACACATCTTTGGGCATTTTCCAGAGGACATTTCCAGAGTGGTGTAACTGAGGGGGGGAGATCCACCCTGAATGGTGGTAGCAGCAGCCCCTATGCTGGGGTTCCAGACTGAATGAAAAGGGGATGTAAGAGAAAGGGAGTCCAGCACGGTATTGGCCTCCTTCTGTTTCCTGACTGGGATGTAATGTGACCATCTGCTTCATGCCCCTGCCTCTGTGACCTCCTCTCTCTCTCTCCCTAATGGACTCTCCTCAAACTACATGTCAACCTAAACCCTTCCTCCAGGAAGTTGCTTCTTGTTAGGTATGTTGTCATAGCAATGAGAAAAGTAACTAGCACACCAATCGAACTACTAAGTGTAGGAAAGGAATAAACAGCCGAAGAGAGAGTTGGGGTGCTGCTGGTAAGAAAATAAGGGGGGATGTCAGAGAATTAACAGACACTGGACCTACTTCTGGGTGTGTGATGGTCACAGGTCATCAGAGTTCCTATCTTCTGGTACATCATCCCCACAGACATAAAGTAGATCTAACAGAGAAAGACTCCACCACCAGATGAATAACACAGCTATCTGGTGCTTGTGGACTTTGGAGGAAGAAGGAAACAAAGGGCTAGAGCTGCTGCATCTACAGGGGTAGGCGGGCCTTAAACAGGCTAATAGAGATGGCATGTCACGTCACGTTGACATTCGAAACTTACATTACTGTAAGGATCACACTATATTCCAATTAGGATAAATGTGTGTCAATGTTTAAATTCTGAGGGATGTGCAGCTTTATCAGCAGAATCAGAAAACCGGCATGTCCTAAATTATGCTTGTCAGTACAGTGGCGAAATCTGCTGAAAAGATCTGGGAATGTATTATTCAAAGAAATGTGACTCCCTTTTCAACTGAGACGAGCATGGGAGACACAAATGTGGAAAGTGGGGGAAGGGATGCATCAACCTCTGGGAGATCCACACTGCTCATGAGCATATTCAAGACTCTGGAAGTCCCACAATGTTGTGGTTTGAAAAGGATGCCACCCATATGTCCATATGTTTGCATGTCTAGTTCCCAGTTAATGAACTGTTTGGAAGGATTAGGAGGTGTGGCCTTTGAGATTTCAAATACCCACACCAGGCCCAGTATCTCTCTTTCTCTCTGCCTAATGCCTTTGGATCAGGATATAAAGCTCCCAGCTACTGTTCCAACACTGTGCCTTCCTGCTTGCTGCCGTATTTCCCACCATGATGATCATGAACTGAAACTGTAAGCAAGCCCCCAATTAAATGCTTTCTTTTATAAGCCTTGCCTTAGTTATGGTGTCTCTTTACAGCAATACAACAGTAACTAAGACACACAACAGAGATCATAACATTCGTGAGATCATCATATTTCATTTTCTGGAATCTCTCGTCATGTGGCACAGGGTCTTGACTCTAATGATGGGTCTAACAAAAATGAAAGAAACTAAGTGAATAGAAGGGCCTAGCTAGCATTTTATTGGTATTGTTCACTTTAGGATTAACCATTTTGGCCGTGTGTGTATGTGTGTGTGTGTGTGTAACATTTATTAACACACTACAGAACTAGAACTGCATAGAATTACTTATTAAAAATTTGGTTTTTCTATTTCTTGCCCATAACCCTGTCCAGTTAATTCGGAGGTCCTAGATTAAATTCTGTGAAGTATTTAGAAGTTTAAAAACATTTCTTCAAGTGCTGTTTGTATACCTCCAAAGTTCCTGGTGGGGGAGCAAGCTTCTCTTCCTAACCAGATCTCCACTTCTCTTTCAGCTGAAGAAAGATGAGTCCCTTGAGGCAGACAAAGTGACTGTGAACATTCATAGACCCTCCAGAAAATCAGTCACCAAGATGCTGTGTAAGCTGCTTGCTTTGTTTCAGTGTTTGTTCACTTTTGTTTATAAGAGCGAAGGACTTGTGTTGGGCACTGACGTAATGGTGCTGGCTGAGATGTTTTTCTTGGTTTCCAGAAGGTTCCATGGCTTGCCTGTTTTGTTTCATCTTTGGCTTTGAGCATTCAAACCCTTGTACTAGGTTACAGTTGCTGAGATGCCTTCCCAGCGCTATGAAATAAATCACATTGGCACGCTGAGCCTGAGCACCACTCTCTCTGTAAGATGGGATGGGGGTGGGTTCTGAACCTGTCTGCGTTCCAGCACTCTTCAGACATGGGATACAGGTCATGGTGGATCCTGCACTCACAAATGCTTCCACACACAATATTTTATAACTTACTTCAGGGGATTGTGAATTCCCAATGGCCACGTAGATGCTGTGGATCTTTCCAATTCCAGATTAAGAACGACTAGTCATGAATTCTCTGGAGTGAATCATCCTCATCCCACCAAGCACACTATGTAGCCTTGTATCAAAATGTTATCCTGTTTAAAAACAAAACAGCAAAAATAACCTTTTTTTTGGAAATACACATACTTGTAAGAGACAAAATATTTTAAGAAATCCAGGCTCTGACCAACCTCTCCTAAAAGGATGCTAGAAAAGAAAATGAGCCCTTGGGCTGGGGAGATGGATCGGCAGCTAAAACACTTGCTGTGCAAGTGTGAGCACTGGGTGTCAGCTCCCCAGAGACCACACAAATGCTGGTGGGAGTCACCACCCTCTTATAATTCTTCTCTCGGAAGGAAGAGACAGGGGGTTGGTAGAGTAAGTTGGCTATGGAGACTGGCCGTACCAGTGAGCTCTTGGTTTGACTGCGAGATCCTGCCTCAATGAATAAGGTGGCTGAGTGACTGAGGACAATTCCTGACTCAACCTTGGGTCTACACACAGCTGCGCACACGCGCACGCGCACATACACTCAAACATGCATGCACACACATGCACATACGTGTATACACACAAGTGGGAAAATGAAAATAAAAAACTAAGCAAAGCAACACAAGACCTCCAGGAGAGACACTCGTGAGGTATGTGAAACATCATAAACTTTCCAAATTACAGCCTACATTCAGAGAGGAAAGACTCCTCAGGCTAATGTACACAGGAGTGTGGGAGCTGGCCCTCTGTGAACAGAAACCAGAAGTCACTGAAGCCGGTCTTTTGGCTCTAATAATAATTTTCTTTGAAGTGGTTCGGCCTCGGGTGGGACCTGGCCTGTGTTGACTGGGAAGCAGGGAGTCTCCATTACTTCTCCCCTTCTCCCTCTGATCATGATCTCATCAATGTTTGCTCCTGTTAGCATCTCAGTAACACGCCTGGGGTGGAGCTCTCTGGTAGAGCATGTGCTCTGAATGTACAAGGCCCTGAATTCAATTCATAGCATCAGACACACACACACACACACACACACACACACACACACACACACACACACACACAAAGAAAAAAAAACCAACAACAGATCTGAGCTGGGTTCAAAGCCAACCTGTGCAACTTAACAGGACTCTGTTTCAAAATAAAAAGTAAAAAGAGGACTGAGCAGTAGCTCAGTGGTAGAGTGCTTGCCTGGCATGTGTGAGGCCGTGGGTTCAATTCCCAGTCCTAGAAAAAGGAGGAAAAGCTATAATAATAACATGTAAGGCATTTTTCTTCATTATTATCAGGAATTAAGACCGGAAGTGGGCAATTGATGGCCATTTCATTGAGGGAGAAACTCAAAAGAAACCGGATATTTTGGAAAGTTCATTGCACAGGCAGACAGATTTTCCTCAATGTTAACACCAGAAAGAAACCAAGGTGCCATTTCCTATGAAAACCTGGAATGTGCACAAGCACAGAGTTGCAAAATGAAGACCATGTACCCACCTCTCAGCTTCAGACGTTGTTCCCGGCTCACGGCTGCTCTACCTCATCAGCACCCTCGAGTCTCCTCCTTCAGCCCCTGTTAGATCACTCAGGTACAAACCTCACGCAGCTGCCACAGGAAAAGATGTGACAACTTCTTAGGAGAGAAAATGCTTGTTTATCTTGTAGAGCTTCGGGATCCTGAGGGGAAACTATTGTCAGACCCATCTCTGCCCCTGGGCTGGAAATGAGCAGAAGAGGGATCTCTGTGTGCTTCTGACTCAGGACAGGCAGTTCCTCCCAGAATCAATACTATATTTTCAGTTGTTCCTCCCAGAATCAATACTATATTTTCAGTTGTTCTGTCATTGTTCCAGCCCAGCACAGAATCAAAAGCATCAAAGGAACTCCTAAATACCTCTAGAGTACTATGTTAACAACTTTGTCTTGTTGCTATGACAAAATGAAGGAAGGAAGGCTGAGGAGACAGGTCGGCTGGTAAAATGCTTGCCAAACAGGCTTGAGAACTTGAGTTTGATCCCCAGCACCTGTGTGACAAAAAGCTGGGCGCGGTGTTGTGTGCTTGTAATTCCAGAGCATCTCAGAGCTGGGCAGGTGGACACAGGTGGATCCCTGGGCTTTGCTGGCCAGCAGTCTAGCTGAATTGTGAGTTCAGGGTGAAAATTAGAGACTGTCTCAAAACAAAGTGGGTAAGCCTCCTGAGGATTGACACTTAAAGCTGACCTCTGCCCTTCTCAATACACACACACACACACACACACACACACACACGCACGCACGCACGCACGCACGCACGCACGCGCGCGCACGCACGCACCGGCACACACATAAGACAAAGACACGTAAGACACACACAATACGAAAAAGATTTATCTTGGGCCAAGTAGCTTTGGGTCTATTGTGAGGCAGAATATCACTACAACAGGGGAGGTAGAAAGAGAAGAAGGGAGGGAGGGAGGGAAGGAGGGAGGAAGGGAGGGAGGAGCAGTCCTCTTTACATCAGCTGTAGACATCAAGTCTCTGTGACAAAGGCTAGGCAGCTTACCTAGGAGTGGATTGCTACCAATGTTTTTTTGGAGCTTTCAGTCACTTGATCCTTCAGCTTTGGGCCTGTGGTGAGTGAGGCAGAGCATCACAATAAGGCCTGTGGTGGAGCAAAGCTGTTCACTTCACAGCCTGCAAACAGAAAGGGAAGGAGTAAAGAGTCCCCACACTCCCTTCAAGGCACAGCAAACGCCTGCCTCCTCCATCTAAATTCCTCAAGTTTCCACCCATCCACCCCAGACAGCATCATCCACTGGGGACCATGCCTCAGAGGATGAGGTTGGGTGGCTGTTGGAACCCAAACCCTAAGAACTCTCTGAAAACCTGTGACTGTAACTACCACAACTCCCTAAAACAACCTGATCTAATCAGTGTATGAGTCTCTAAACATCTGCTGAGAGCATGCTTTGTTTCCCACAATCAAGTGGTTTGGGAACTTTGAAATATATTCAGTTCTATTTTAAATATTGTAAGGAGAAACATACAAGAAATCTTGAGGAGATGTCTCAGTGGTTAAGAGCCTTTGATACGCTTGCAGAGGACCCACATTCGGTTCCCAACACCCACACTGGGCAGCTCACAACCTCCTATAAGGCCCTCTTCTGTCCTCAGAAGGTACTGCAGATATGTGAGCACAAAGAGATAAGCAAGGCACACATACTACACATAAGTAAAAATTAATTTTTTTAAGGAAAAGAAAGAGAGAAATCAATCAGTGTCAATCAATCCTGGGCCAGTGAGATGGCTCAGAGGGCAGAGGCACTTGCGGCCAAACCTGAGTTTGACCTCCAGGACCCAGGAGAAGGAAAGAACTGATTTCAAGAAGTTGCCCTCTGATTTTAACATGTGCGTTGTGACATGTGTATGTGTGTGGTGTGCACACACATACACAAATAGTAATAACTGGACTTAGTGGGTTCTCAACAAAAAAGACATGAAGTTGTAATGGGGGCATGTTGGAGTGGGAAAATAGGGGTAGAGATGATATTTTATGATGTGCATTTATGAAAATTTCAAAAACAAAGAGAAACTTCAAGTAAAAAATGAAATTTTAAAAGAAAACTTAGGCAATTTGTATAGAAAACTGATCCTAGAGCCATGATTAATTCTTTTATTTGAATAGTCTTTCTCTCTGGGTTCTCATTTGCCTGTGGCACTCAGCACTTAGCCACGGTGGCAGGGAAAACCTGATAAAAGAAGGAAACCTCTGGGAGTGAGCATCACACCCTTCCCTGGCCTAGTCTGTCACTCCTTCTCCCACTTCCTCTTCCAGTTGTCCTGGTCCTTGTGTTTGCTATCTGCTGGACCCCCTTCCATGTGGACCGGCTCTTCTTCAGCTTCGTGGAAGAGTGGACTGAGTCCCTGGCTGCTGTGTTCAATCTCATCCACGTGGTATCAGGTAAAGGCTCGGTGGGTTCAGGGACATAACTGTACGGTAGCTTTTCCTTCACTCTGTCCTGAGGCATTCATCACCATGCAAGCAGCTCACAGGGATCTGTACTTCTGTCACCGAAAAAGTGGGAGCTGATTGCATTCAGGGATTAAAAATGTTTCCAGGTTACTTTACAGAAATCCCCAACTCCACACTTGAATGCAATAATTACAGCAGGAGAGTAGTTGGCGATCATAAGCAATTGATAGCAAAGAAACACATGAGAAGAAATGACTCACCCAAAGGCATAAAGCTGTAAAAACAGTGAAAATGGGGCTCAAGTCTAAGCTATTGAATTTCAAGTTCAAGGTTTTTTTCCAACAAACTAGAGAACCCTACTGACGTTAGGTTCAGGGCACTTCTCCCCAGCTGTTTCTGTTGTCACTGTCTTATTCTGTGGCCTGTGGACTATCAAGGACATGACTATAGAGCAAGTTAGATGCATGTATGCAACTTAGGGATATCACAGCTCGGGACAGAAGGAAGGAGGGAGGGGAGAGAAAGATTGTACTGCAGACCTTCCTGTATAACACCACCATTTCTGCCTCTGAACATTTGTGCCCAAATACAAGTTCTGTCTCTTCATCGACTCTCTCCTGTCCACATCAAGGTATAGCTGGTGTCATCACCTCCACTGAGTCCCTCCTAGCCACAGCAGTCTCTGTTATAATAGAGTAACTGCTGTAGTCTGACTGTTGGTAAATGCGTCCTCCTAGGAGATGTCATTGTGTATCCCTGTTACTAGCTTTGCCGAGGATCCTGCCTCTGCTATATTCTTCCAAGTACTTGGAGAGGAAAAAAACTAAATCCCCTGTCTTTCGATGTGCTTTGAAGTTCTCAAAATGTCCTGGTAAGCATTTGATCCATGTCGGAGTGAACAGACATGTCTCCTCGTCCCAGAGAGGGCACTGACCATAGACACAAAGAAGGGATTCCATCCAAGTGCAGTTTGTTAAACCAATGAGTCACTGGGGTTACTAACAGGAATGAGTGATTTATGGGCAGCTATATCACCAAAAAAAAAAAAAAACTATTTCTCAGCAATGGTTAACTATCTATAAATCCTTGGAAGGAGCCCGGCCTCATAAGTCACTCCCCAAACAACTGTTAACTGTCTAAATCTTTGAGGAAAGGCAGGCAAGCCCTTCCCCTGTAATGCAGAGTTAATGGGAACACTCTTGTGTAGTCTCCAATGGGTGATCACAGCTGACAATTTGAGAGGGCGGTGGCCATGACCATGACTTGCCTGGAGGATGCTGTTTCACAACACACAGCTCCCACCAGAATATCCTGCCCCTATTTTCCAGAAGGAGGTGATATGCCAGTGTTTATCTAAGGGCACAAAACAAAGGAGGGTTGGGGTCCTAAACCCCCCTAAGCTTTATTGCTGGCTTATAGAAACAAAACAGGAAATAAAAATGGTGTACAGGAGCTGGAGAGATGGCTCTGTGGCTAAGGGCTCATACTGCTCTTATAGAGGTCTCTACTTCAGTTCCCAGACCCCATAGCAGGTTTCTTACATGCCTGTAATTCCAGTGCCAGAGGGCCAGACATCTTCCTTTGGCCTCTGTGGGTACTGGGATTCAGGTACACACACACACACACACACACACACACACACTTACATAACTAAAAAATAAATCTCTAAAGAAAAGAGTGCATTTATAACAAGCAGAGAAAAGGCAATATACAAGCTGCCTGGTAGACAAAATAAATAGAAAAATATAATTATTCAGTGGAAGAGCTATCAAGGGAAGCAGGAGTGGGTAGGGAAGGGACATGGCAGGGAGTGGAAAGGGATGATCTCTCTCCAAGAGGTTTTCAACAGAATGAAGAATCTTAGCAGAGATCAAATGTTGGCTGATTTACCAATCCTCACCCTGTGGTTTCAAATAATAGCTTTAACTAAAAATCCAATGAAGAAACAAACCTCTTTCCTCTGATATTTGAGCATCTCTCACTAGTGACATCACCCAGCATGATGGCTCTTCTGTTGCTCTATGTTTGATTCCTGAGTGCACAGGTGGATCTGCTCATAACATTTCCTATTCTCAGTGAGTGCCCTGTACACCCCATTGCTTCCAAGAGAGACAATCATGAGGTTCTCAGGCCTTTGCTAAATATTTATACTTCATCCTATCTTGCTGCCATGTCTTCTTTCAATCCCTCCTTCACAGGCGTCTTCTTCTATCTGAGCTCAGCTGTCAACCCCATTATCTATAACCTCTTGTCGAGACGCTTCCGGGCAGCCTTTCAGAATGTCATCTGTCCTTCCTGCAAATGGTGCCATTCCCAGGATCTCCCACCAGGACCTCCAGCCCAGAAGATCATCTTCTTGACAGAATGCCACCTTGTGGAGTTGACAGAGGATGCAGGCCCCCAGTTCCCCTGTCAGTCATCCATCTACAACTCACACCTCTCCACAGACCGTTGTGCTGGGCAGGTACCATGAAGGGAGTGGTCAGAAGGCCACTTCAGAAGGCCTGGATTCTGTGGATTGGCATCCCTGTAGCTCCAGCACCGTAGGAGGGACTTCCTGTCACCTGTGCCTCCTGTGTGCCATTAGGAAGATAACAAGATTCTTAGATCCCATGTACACCATGCTTTTATTAATGTAAAACTCCAGACTTCATTCTAGGTCACAATGCAGACATTGGTGATTTATACATTCCATCTTTCTGTATGGTGAGTTTTCATAACTGTGATTGCAATATGCCACGTGAGTCCTACTTAAAGACACTCTCATAACAGTTGAGTTTAACAGAGTGAAGCATTACAGAGAAGCTAAGCAGCACAGCACAGTTATCCCAACCTCCAAAGCCAGGACTCATAAGAAACTACTGGTGGTGAGCCAGCGACTAGCTCAGAACCGCTCGCTAAAGCTCACCCCTCCAATAGTTAGGACTTTTGCAAGCTTGTTATCGAATGAGCGATGACTTGAAATCAGTCATAGTAGAAATATTTATGCTACAGAAATTAACAAGCTCTCTAAATCAGGGCTAAATAATTTTTATCCCCTGGAGAGCTGGCCCATGAGCAGGTGGAGAGCTATTAATAAGCTGGCATTTTGCCAGCTTGCTGCGATCTGTGTGACTTGTTTTTAGAACAAATGCTGGTAATGCTGTAATTATGGACTACTTAGAGTTGTGGTTAACTCTGAAAAGAATGCTATGGACTAGATTTTTTTTTTAAAACCTAGAGTTCCTAGATGAAAAATAAGAAAAAAACTGCTAATTAAGCCATGGAAGCAGCATCAGCATTTTACAATTAACCTAGAGTCGAAAGATTATTTTTGGATGCCATCCATTAACATTAGTGCAGGAGACGACAATGGATCCAGTGCTATTTCCCATCACACATCTGTATTTACAGAGTCCACACGGTGTGTTGTCAAAACCGGTAGATTTTTTTATATTCTCTACTTGGCTGCAAACTTATTTTCTTCTTAACAAGTAGGAACAGTGATAAGTGGGTTAAAGGTTCTCATCACCAAGGCTGAGGACCTGAGTTCAATGCCTGAAACTCACACGGTGGAAGGAGAGAACTGACTCCTTCACAAGCTGTCTTCTGACCTCCAAACATGCACTATGGCATATGTTCTCCACACACCCCTACACACACCACACTAAACAAATTCATATAAAAAAATTTGAAGATGTTATAAATCCGTAGTGTGGAAGCTAACAACTATACCATCTTCTAGAAGCCCTGCAAATCAAAATCATAGACAAAGCAGCCTTGAATCCCTTCCTATCCTTTTCCATCCACAGTAGATGACTGAATGCCACGTGGACTCCACTTCTGACCCCTACCTGTGGAACATGATGGAAGCATTTTCAAGGCAAGGGCATTTTTAGAAGTTTTGACTGATTTATGAATGGGATAGATATTGTAGGCTATACCTACAATATACTGATTTCACCACTGTGCAAAACAGACTGTTAACTTAGAGAGTTAGAATGATGGACGAGTCTGGCAAAGAAAGCCAGGGACTATAGGACAGAGAGAAGCAAGGGCTGGAGAGATGGCTCGGTGGACAAAGACACTCGTGGGCCAGCCTGATGATCTGAGTTCCAATGGTTGAGGAAGAAACCCGACACCTGAAGCTGTTCTCCGCCCCCCATGTATCCACCATGACTTGTGTGGCAGCACCCCCTTCACACACACAACAATAAAATTATTTTTTTAAAAAAAGCATTTACCCTTTCAAGCACATACAATGTCCGTATACCACGAAATCACATAGAGGCATAGATAAGAATGTTTGTTAGTAAATAGTCATTTTGAAGATAGACCTTAAAAAGTTTGATAGGACACACTTATTTGAATATTTTTCACAACAGACAGACTATCTTTTATCAACACTTCGTTTTGTTTTATAAACACTGAAAATTTTAGGTCCTAGCTCTGACAACCAATTCTTCAGTAATAAAATGGAATAAACACTGTCCTGTGGACGGACGTTCATGTGTTCTCTTCACTCGCTGTTTCTCCCACCTTACCGAGAAATAAAGTATTCCTGTGCACCCCTGCCTCCAGTTGACAGCAAAGAGCTTATCCTCACTTACGCCTGGGGAAATTATACAAGCAATCTCAAAGTATCCCAGGCTACAACAGTCCTCACATCTCACTCAAACACCTGCAGGGTGCTGAGGTGGCTCCCAGGCTGGGGTCTGAGGTCTGAGCTTTCCCATCTGACCTTGTCACCTGCAGCAGCCTTTCTTACAGCACCTGCAAAGACTGGTGAGTCCCTACTGAGGGTCTGCCACCAAGTGTCCAGATTCCAGAGGGTGGGGGCCATTCCTCCCCAAGGAAATCTACAGAGCAGCAGTCCTCAGCCTGTGGGTCACAATCCTTTCACAGGAGCCACCTAAGACCGTCGAAAAACACAGATATTTACATTATGATTCATAACAGCAGCAAAATTACAGTCATGAAGTAGCAATGGAAATTATTTTATGGTTGGGGGTGACCATAACATGAGGAACTGTATTAAAGGGTCACAGACTTAGGAAGGTTGAGAATCACTCCTATAGACATTGGGTTGCCGGATAGACTCTAGGACATCATAAAGAGTGTGGTAGGTGAAGAATCCCCCACCCTATATACCTCAGCTAGAAGTGCCCCTCCTCTGCACTACACCATGACCTACCTCATCACTTTCCCACCTCCCCCTCACTCCCCACCTCCTCTTCACTCCCCTCCCCTCCCTTACTCCCCCACCTTCCCCTCACTCCCCACTCTCCTGCATCCTCAGAGTCTCAGATTCCTTCCTCCTCTGGAGGCTCAGTAACAAGCGACTACTTACTCCAGATACTCCCTGTGAAACCTTCCTCCTTCCTCTGAGACCTATAAGAAGGACCCTCCACTATTCCCCCGGGGGGGGGGGGGGCATAACTCTTCTCAGACCACATTCTATGCTGTCATCTGTGCGTCCGTGGCGTTAACAAGGTTAATAAAGCTCTTACCCAAATCGCTACCCGCTCAATCCCAAACCTGAACCCTTTTAGAACTGCACTGTCTGGAGGCACAGTGGTTATCAGGGGTACACACTTCTCTTGATAGGCAAGTCACCAGGACTATCAAAGGCAGAAACATGGAAGTACACTTTCTTCGAGGCTGTGACCCCTACCGAGATCGGCACACATGCTATTACCATATGAAGGCTGGATTTTGAAGCTTTTCCCCCAACTTTCAGAGTGCTGCTTGGTTCTCTCAAGAGCCTGAATTTGGGGTCACAACCTAACTGCCCTGTGACCATTAGGTATATCCTATAGAATATACAAACAGAACACTAGCTTCTAACTAAGCGAAACACTAAGGCTGCTGTTAGAGAGAGAGCTTCTGGGGTGACCCCACCAAGTTCTCCGCTGCCTTAACCCTCGACTTCATGTCTCCACCGATGTGTTTGGAAAGCGCCTTGATTTATGACTCTCCTGCTTCTGTTACTATAGAAACTTCATCAAACTGTCACCACATCTGAACATGGAAATTGGGGTGACCCAAATCTGTGTTCCTGGGCCATCATCTCTATTTATATTTAACCCTAGAATGAGCTCTTATCCACTGTCGGGGGATAGCTGTGTCTTCTGCATTAACAACTAGAAAGATGAGACGAATCAGGCCTGGGGCTTCCTGCTGTGGATATCATTCTATATAAATAAAACAGTGATGGCCAGTGACCAGACAGGAAGTATAGGCGGGACAAGGAGAGAGAAAAATTGGGGAAACAGGAAGAAGGGGAGAGAGACACTGCAGCCACCGCCAGGACAAGGAACATGTAAAGATGCCAGTAAGCCACCAGCCATGTGGCAATGTATAAATTTATAGAAATGGGATAATTTAGGATATAAGAACAGTTAGCAAGAAGCCTGCCACGGCCATACAGTTTATAAGTAATATAAGCATTTTATACGTGGATTGTGGGACTGCGGGGCTTGGTGGAACCTGGAGAGAAGCCCTCCAGCAACAGCTTCCTTCCACTGTGTCAGAGCCACAAGTCCAGAGTTATCTGACCTCTAGTCTGAATCTGTGTCCTGGGCCATGGTCACTCACATTTGACTCCAGAGTAAGCTCCCTCTATGAGGTGAGAGCTATGATTTTGTACTGATACTCATGTGCCAATTAAAGAAAGAAGCGATACGGAAAAGCAGAGAAAGGAGTGTGGCCACACAAAGGCATGGAATTAAGTAGTCCATGGGCCCCCAACTCCATCTTTGGGGATTACAGCAGGATGTTTAGGTATGAATAGAGGACACAAGGTACAATTAACTAAGCAGTGCAATCAGATTGCAGGCTAGTCCATCATCATCTGGGCTCCAGTTTCTCCCGCAAGCTTCTCTGAAGGAAGTTGTCAGAGCAGTGTGAAATCTTCTCCTAGGAAAAGAGCACCCCCTCTGGCTGCACTAGGCTTCATCATCTTCCTTCTCCCAATGTGAGATTCCTGATAAAATACCAATTTCTTGGTGTCTATTGTTTCAATAGTCTGATAGACAAAAAGGTCGAGCAGAAGTGTCTCTTTGAATAGCCTCACCCCTGCCAGGATAGTTACCTCAGGATAGTCCTTAGAAATGCTGTAATACTCATCTATAGAAATAATAATAATAATAATTAATAAATAAACAGGAATAGGAATTTATTATTCAGAAAGACAGGTTTTGATGGCATTTTACAGTGCTATTGCTTCCTCTGAATTAAACTTCCCCCTGGAAGGAAACCAAAGGCTCCCAGGACTCAGGAAGTAAACAAACCTCCTCTCAAAAGCTGAAACTCAGGTTTTAAGAGGCCCCTCACCAGGGTTTTAGAAGCAGTAAGCAACTGCTGGGGGAAGAGAGCTTTGGCCAGCCTCATGGGTGCTGTTGAGAAAAGCGTCTCAGGCCTGCCCAGCTGCCTACAAGCTGCACAGAGAGCACCAGGGTTGCAGCTTCCAGGAGTCTCACCCATTCAGGAGTGGGCTGTCAGTGAGCATCTGCCTTAGAGCTGCTCATGCTCCTGTAAGTAACCCCTCACCCACCCTGCCAGAGTTGAAAAGTTTCTGCACCCAGATAAGCCTCTCCACTGACACAGCAATCCAAATCAGATCAAATCAAACTGAATTAAGAAAAAGCTCAGGTATTTAATGGGTAAAATATTCTCAGGTGATTTTTCCAGCCACCCACAGCGGAGAGGGGTGCAGTTTTAATACTCTGTGGGGGTGGTCTTGAGCATCCCTGGGGGAGGAGCCGGTGTTTGGCAGGCTTGATACAGGACAATATTTGGAGAGAGAGAGATGGGTGCCAAGGGCTGAGGTGGAGCTTCCACCAAAACAATGGTAACCTCAATCAACTCATTGACTTACCAAGCCGGGGATGCTGGTGTGATTGTTATTTTGATCTATGGTGGGTCCCCTGGGGTGGAAGAATGTTCACAGCACCCCAGGAAAAATTCACACGCAATCCCTCTTTCGGGAGTATTCAAACACACACTGTAAATGAGCAATGTTGGCACAAAAACACAGCCCTAACCTCCAAAGGGAGAAGAGAGTTTACTCTGGAGCCAAATGGAGTGACCATGGCCCAGAAACACAGACTTAGGTCACCCCAAATTCCATGTTCCAAGGTGGGAACAGTTTGATGAAGTTTTTATAGGAACAGAAAATGGAAAGTCATAAGGGGAGATGTTTCTCAAGTGCTTTGAGGGAGACACGAAGTTGGTTGTCAAACAAAGCAGGGAGGCTCCGCTATCTCCTCGGGTGCTTCTCACGACAACCTCTGCTTTCTGATTGGTGGAAACAAGGGTCCATTAAGTAAATACATTTCCAAAGGTTTCACCTGATCATAACAAAGATATTAAATCAGACACAGACTCGGGAAAAGGGTGGCTACATTTTCATGAGGTTCTGGACCTGCAACATTCCAACCTCTCCAACAACCTTGAAGTTCTAATCAGTTTCTGGACCTGGCAAAAGGTGCAGTGGGGTGTGTCTTTCTAGGAACCTGTGTTCACAGCAGCATCCTAGGAAATTTGTCAGGCTTTAAAAAAGAATCATTATTCACTTCCAATCCAAATAAACAAGCTCCCTAAGACTCTACCGCCCACTGCTAGGACTCGTGAATAATGAAGGCATGGGCATGTGTTACAGATTGCTTCTCTGGTACATGAAAGATTAATCAATATTATGACAGGGCAGTCAACAAAATGAGGAGCCCAGAATGCTCAGAACAGCTATGCATATTAATTGACTCTGAAGGTCTTCAGCCTCTGCCGTCTGGGAAATGAAATGCCTTTGATTTGTCTCTCAGTCAGAAGATGGGGATGAGGACAATGATCATGTGATCCTTCCTGCCTGGACATTGAGGTCAGAGACAAATGAGGAGTGATTGTGTGTGTGTGTGTGTGTGTGTGTGTGTGTGTGTGTGTGTGTGTGTGTGTTGCATGTATATGCTCATGTGTGTGTGTGTGTGTGCTCACATGCAGAAGACACATGCACACAGCACAAGTTGATGTTCAGTGAATTCAGTCTCCTCATGTCACTCTTCCGTCTCTCCCTAAACATGGAGCTCATTGATTGTTTAGACCGGCTGAGCAATGAACTTCAGAGATTTCTGTCTCTGCATGCCCCCCAATCCTGGGCTGGGGCAACTAGTGCACACTGCTGTGTTTTTTATGTGGGTGCTGGGGATCTGAACTCGGGTCCTCGGGTCACTCTGCCCTCTGAGATATCTCACCTCCTGAGCCCATCTTCACGTATTGACTCTATGGATGCCATAGAATTCCTCTCACTGATTGAAAGGGATTTCATATCCATTCTTTATTTTCTGTTAATTCTGGCCCTGATTCAACTGAGACATGCAGCCTTTCTCAATGCTTACATAACTTAATAAAAGTTCTAAGAATTTGAAGATTAAGGTGCCTTTGGTATAATCTACCACCACTGGAACATTTACTTATTTGTATATCAGAAGTGTTGATTTGGACTTTTTCCAATTACCATGCTAAAAGCTTTCAACATATTAACTGAC